AACTGAATTCAGGTATCGCCAGCTTCAAAATGCAGTTCACTAACCTCTGTGCCACGACCATGACATCCTCCTCAGCAAACCGGCGCCTGCCCATCGCGTTCGATCACACGGCATGGCGGCTACAATGGGTGCTGCGGGTGGCAGTGGCTTGGCGAGGCCTTCATCCAGCAGTGGATTGACCATGGCTAATGATTATGATGATTGCTCCGAGCGTGTTATCATTGTTGACTATTCCCTTCGACTCCATGTATTAATTGCATCGCAAATATTATATCTACGTAAGCCGCGTGCTCCCTGTCACACTCAAAGCCATCCTCAGGCCCCCCACCGCCCCCTCCCCCCCCCCTCTGTCACTGATCTCCCTTGCCGCGGAGCAGTGCCTGAAGCCTGGCGAATGAGCGCGGGTGATTCAGTCCCCGTGTCTGCCCCACGTAAAGCTTCTCGGAGCTGGGCTCGACTGAATTTAAGTGAAAAATCAACAGCGAAAAAAAATAAAAAATGAAAAAAACCCACTCGCGATGGGTTTTTCATTTTGTGCAGCCAACTGGTGACGGCGCCTGAGAACCATCTCTCGCCTCGCACGCCACACTCGAGAGGCCGGTTTAATCCCGGGTGGGAGGCTCTGGGATTCGAACCCAGGATCTCAGCGCTGCCGGCTCAGAGCTGCGACGCAACTTCAGCCCAGAGTCAGCCAACCACATTATTAATATCACTACTATCGACTTGCGGTGTGTGTAGACACGTACACACACACGCACGTTACTTTGTGTGTGTGTGTGTATATACACACACACGCACACGTTACTTTGTGTGTGTGTGTATGTGCGGTAGTGTAGTGGTTAGCGCGCTTCGCTACAAACCCGTCGACACGAGTTCGATTCCCGCTCACGGCCAACACCGGTGACGATTATCTAAACCGATTTCGGGCCTCCCCTAGGTCGAATTAGCCTCAAATGAGTACCGAGTACCGAGTGCGGTGTGTAATCTTCGCCACTGGGGAGACAAAGGCGGCCCGGCGTGGTGCTGGCCACCCACACCTTCGTGTGCCATGCCGGCCTTCATAGGTGCTCGCTAACAGCACTTGCCCCAACAGTCTGTTAAAGGCTTTATGGGGTATCTTCGTCTTTATATATGTGCACGCCGTTTGATCGTAAACGGGGAAAATAAGCTGGCAAAAGAAACCGAGAAGCCAATAAATCCAAAGCATCTCTGCCTCCTCAAATGAACTTTGGTCAGCGCTTTTCACATTTGGTGGCTCCGAGCAGGTGCTGGAAATTCCACGCTTCCATGGTCAGGCCCAGTCTCTCTCTCCCGAGCGCATCGTCCGACTGGCCATCATCGCAAACCAAACAAACTTCTGCGGGCGGGAATGAACGCGCGGCTAAAGTAAAATAAAAACAACCGTGGGGCCGGGTTCCTCTCGTCAGAACCGGCACCGTTAACTTGGTTTGTTTTGGGGCACGGGGGTGCATTGAACAACAACCACCACTGCTGCTGAGACCCTCCGCGTTGTGACGCGCCGCGGAAGAGGCTTTGCCCCGCGGCTGAGAGGCGTAATGAGCGTGAAGAGCGCTAAGTCAGCACTGAACGAAGAGAGGCAGGTCAAGTGTTTGCACTCCGCGGACCCCCCACCCCTCGGCCACCCCTTCCCTCCTCCTCTTCATCGTGGCCCCCACCCCCCGCTCTCCCCCCTCCCCCCCGCTACTGTTTAATCAACGGGCCAATCGGCACAGCGAGAGGGTGCCGAGGCTGCACGCGCCACTGCCGCTACAAGCACCTCTGGTCAGGTAATTGGATAAAGGCGGCGGCGGCGGCAGTTAAAGAGGCCGAGCAATCCGGCAAATCCGCCGCCCGGACTGAGACGTCGCGATGAGACGCACGGCGGCTCCCAGCAGCATCAGCAGCAGCATCAGCAGCATCAGCAGCGGCAGCAGCAGCACTGCCACCCCAACTCGAGTGCTCTCCCAGCTCCGTCACTCTCGCGTCTCCAAGTCGGACTCCCGACTCTGAGCGCCCCCCCCCCACCCCCGACTCTCCCTGCGGTCTCCGACTCTGAAGCGTCGACCGACGTTTTCCGTGCAGAGGGAAACCTTTTTGCCCAACGCGGATTTATCGAACGCGCAGTTTCTGGCTGCGAACGGTTCGTCTAGCGAGTTCTGGGTTTTTTTTTTCGGAGCACGGTTTGACGCTTATGATGATTCTCATCTCCGCGTCGAAAAGTAGTGCCGGTTGGAAGGTGGGAATGAATCGACTGCGAGAACTATTTTCTTTTCCACGTGGTTTTTTTTTGTCCGTGTGAGCAAGCGGGAAAGTGCTGTTAGCGAGTAGCACCTATGAAGGCGGGCACGTCACGTTGAGGGGGTGGGTCGCCAGCACGATGCCCGACCACCTTTGTCTCCCCAATGGCGATGTTTACACACTGCACCAGGTACTCGTTTGATGCTGAGTCAACATAGGGGAGGCCCAGGTCTGGTACATATAATCGTCAGTGATGTTTTTTGTGAACGGGAATCGAACTCGGGTCAGCAGGTTCGTAGCACAGCATGCTAACCACGACGCCACCGCTCCCCACACAGACGTGCATATGTGCATACAAAGACAAAAAAGATCCCCTAAAAAACGAAATCCCATGTACCCAAACACATGCAAACCCACCTAAGCACACATGGACATACACGCATGCACACGCACACATTAACACGCACGCTGGCACTCTCTCTCTCTCCGTCTCTCTCCTGCTCGCCCCTCTCATCTCCACGTGTCCCCACTCGTAGCAAACACTCCCATGCCCTCTCCGCTGAGTCAACAGCCGCGTTTCCATCAAGGGCCCGCACTTGTGGAGCAAGCCAGCCATGCACCGAAATCCTGGAGGGCCTCATCGCTCAACTCTAACCCTTGCCATGACCCAGCATCCCTCACCCAGCATCCCGCACCCTCACCCAGCATCCCGCACCCTCACCCAGCATCCCGCACCCTCACCCAGCATCCCTCACCCTCACCCAGCATCCCTCACCCTCACCCAGCATCCCGCACCCTCACCCAGCATCCCGCACCCTCACCCAGCATCCCGCACCCTCACCCAGCATCCCGCACCCTCACCCAGCATCCCTCACCCTCACCCAGCATCCCTCACCCTCACCCAGCATCCCGCACCCTCACCCAGCATCCCGCACCCTCACCCAGCATCCCGCACCCTCACCCAGCATCCCGCACCCTCACCCAGCATCCCGCACCCTCACCCAGCATCCCTCACCCTCACCCAGCATCCCTCACCCTCACCCAGCATCCCGCACCCTCACCCAGCATCCCGCACCCTCACCCAGCATCCCGCACCCTCACCCAGCATCCCGCACCCTCACCCAGCATCCCTCACCCTCACCCAGCATCCCGCGCCCTCACCCAGCACACAGCAACGTGGAGTTCGTTCAGAGTCACCGCATTGCCACGCGAACAGGGTCAGGCGCGATCTTCCAACGAGCGTGGCGTGGCCTTGAGCCGATGGTGGGAAATTCCACGGTCCTATGTCGGGGCCAGTCCTACCCGCCGGATACGCGGCACGTCGAACGTGAACCCCCCCCTGTTCCTCTCTGCCCGGCTCCCTCAGTCCCTACGTGTGTTGGCTAATGTGCGAACACACGCACACGCACACACACATCACAATTACGCACGCGCGGGCGCACACTCGATCTCTCTCTCTCGCTCTAAAAACTGCACGAGGGCGGCTAATCCTATTTGCGTCCCACAGAGGGAAACAACAAAAAAAACCCAAGTCGACCTTTTCAGCCCGGAGTAGTCAATCAGACGGAGGATCAAGGAATGGCCTACCCTCGTGGGAGAGAGAGAGTGCAAGAGAGAGAGAGAGGGGTAGAGAGAGAGAGAGACACGCGGGGAGAGAGAGGGAGAGAGAGAGAGAGGCGATGGAGGGACGTTCTCTCTCTGTGTGTGTGCGGTACGCAGGACTAATTTGCAGCAGACATGAATTGCGAGCCGCTGCGTCGGCAAGGCAAGCGCCTGCGGAGCACGGAGAGCACCTCTGACTCTCCGAGCCGGCGGCCCCCCCAACCCTCACTCCCAACCCCCACCCCACCCCACCCCCAGCCCTCACCCCGTCTCCATTCCTGAACCCCGCTCGGGCCGTGATGGGGTGAGGACCCTGTCTCCCCCTGCACTGCGCTCTGACGACGACGGTCTTGGGGGAAGACGGGCAGCGATTTCCTGAGCGCGAGCGCTTGATTGGAAGCAGACTGCGGCAGGCCCGCGGGCTTGCAGTGGGGGTGATGTCGATGATGATGGTGATGGTAGCGGTGGCGACGGTGATGGCAAATTATAGCGGTGGCGGCGGCGGTGGGTGATATTGGTCGCGAAGGTTTACGTGTTAAACTGGTGGGGGGGATGGTGATGGGGAGGGATGGTGAAGATGGGGGGGGGGCCCGTTGCTACTCCGCTACCCCAAATGTGATGCTGCGACCTGGGTCTGGGGGTTCACACGCAGCACCTGGCTCTCTGCCACGCTGGAAAATCGTCGTGTTAAAAAACAACCAGGTGCCTCTTCACACACACACACCGCACACAGGGTCGATAAAGTGAGTTCCACCGCTTTGGGGGTTGTCCAATGGATAGACTGGCCACTGTCATGGTAATGTGGAATTTCCACCAGCAGCTTAGAACTGCTAGGAGGGGTGATCACTGCCCAACACTCGTTCAATTGCATTACGAATGAATAAAGGAATGACCGATTGAATGAGTCAACGACCGAATGAATACATTATTAAAACTATACAATGAGGAATGAATGACCGACACATGAATGAGCGAACTAATATATAGACGAGCGAGTGAATGAACGAATGAGTTGGCGAATGAGCGAGCGAGTGAAGGACGCACGTGGCACTAGCGACGGCGGGATGCCGGGGGTGGTGGAGGATGGTGGAGGGTGGTGGAAGGTGGTGGAGGGGGGGGGGGGTGGTGGAGGGGGGGTGGTGGAGGGGGGGGGGCCGCACCGTCGTCACGCTTCCTCTTGCCGTCGCCGTTGGAGCGAGGGATGCCCAGGATGCCGTTGATGGAGTAGGAGGACGCCACGGAGTCGTTGGGGGCCGAGGAGACGGGGGTCACGGCCGAGCTGGAGCCTGTGCCGGGGCAGACGCACGCACGCACACGCACGCGCGAACACACGCACGAACACACGCACGCGCACGAACACACGCACGAACACACGCACGCGCACGAACACACGCACGAACACACGCACGCGCACGAACACACGCACGAACACACGCACGCACCCGAACGCGCGAGGCGTGAGGGCTAAGCCACGGCAGGGTCGCGGGGTCGCTCTGCCCGGTACCACCGAGACTCGGGGAGCCGCGTTTTCTCGTTAAATAATCTCCTGGATTTTATTTCCCCCGTCGTGCTATCGATGTCGCGGGTCGGGGAAAACTGTCCCTGCCGGAGCCGTGGAACACCCCACCCCCCCACCCCCCCACCCCACCCCGACTGAGCGAGGCCTCGCGTCGTCACAGCCACGAGGAGGGAGTGAAGCACACAGACGGTGGCTGAGAACGACCGCCCGAGGGATTGCAATCGACGCCTCCTTTCCAGCGGCGGAGGCAGCAGCCGCGCTGTGCACCTGGCGGTGATTCCAGTTCAACGTTTGTCCATCATCCGATATGGGGAATGGCATTCGACCTTTGTTTGATATCCCAGGAATGCTAAAAACTAAACTCTTTTGTTTTTATGTGGAAGGAATAACTGGAGGACCCGGAGAAAAATTCACGCGACCACGGGGAGAGAGACACGCAAACTCCAAATATACAGCAGCAGGCGTCAGGGTCGGGATCGAAGCAACCATCTCCTGTATACCAGGCGAGGTAGTTAACATCCCGCCACGGTGGCGCCAACGCGCAAGGCACGACTCAAAACAGTGCACATGAGAATTGGGCTATTTATAAGTGATGCAAATTTTGCGCAAATTGTATTCAAAGAGGGTGCAGAAATTTACACACGATACAGAACGAACGAGAAACAATACAAACGTGTTGGTTGCAATGAGAGGAAAATATTGTATTTGAATCATGCCCGTGTGTTGCACGGCTGGGCGGCGTGATCGCTCCACTATTCACGCGAGTCTCAAACCAGTTTTTCAGGAGCCCCCTGCATCAGGATGTTTGGCCAATTCCTCAACGAGTCTTTTCGTTGTTGCATATTTACGGCCTCTTAACCGGGCTATAAAGATTGTCTGCGTCTCTCGTTGAAGCGGGGCCGTTAAACAGCTGGACAAACAGTCTGGCCCGCCTGTGGCTGCTGCGGGGACGGACCTCGGCTCACCGCTCGTAAGGTTAAAGCCCTGCCCCAGAGATCAACCCAGCCCGTCGGCACGAATCGACAGATCGTGCCAAGTCGACTTAAGGTCGTCATGTGGAAAAAATGTATCTTGCCACACGACCGTGGAATTTCCACCACTGGCGCCGGGGGGAGAGGGGGAGGAGCAGTGCCGGATTATCCAAGTAGCTAAAGTAGCTACAGTAGCTACATATGTAGTAGCTACATGTGTGGCAGCTACATATGTAGTAACTACATATGTTAGGTAGCCACATATGTGGGTAGCCCCGCACTTTCAAGGGCCCCGCGCTAAATGCTTTCAAGCTATCAATTCCGGTTCAGTGATTCTGCACTTGCTCTATTGCTATAGTACTATACCGCCTTCAACTTTTATGAACGAATGGGTGTTTAAGGTTAGCGATATGTCGTATTATCGGGCTGTATAGCAAATGAAAAAATACAATTACTTTACTATGCAAGTAAAAAATGTACGTGTTTTATATTTTTATTTATTTACTTATTTAGGACCCCTTTACAACATATGCTACAGGCCCCGCGCTCGCTTCATCCGGCACCGGGGAGGCGGTGGGGGTGGTGGCACCAAAGGAAGATGAGCGGCTCTCACGACTCGCCCGTGACGCGTCGCCCCTTCACGGACGCGGCCCTCCGCGTGCCGCCGATTTGATTCGAATTGACGGCGAGAGGCGCCGCGCGGCGAACACAAACACACGCAAACCCCCGAGACGCGGGGTCGGACCGGGCGGGCGCGCGAGAACAATCGCTCCGTCCTCGCATTCCCCGCGACCGTCCAGAATTATGACTGGCACATTCCGAGACTGGACCCCCCCCCTCCCCCTCTCACCCGCGCCCCCCCAAAAAAAGAAAAACAATCAAAACGCGGGAGAGGTAATCACAGAGCCTCTGGACAATGGCGCACATTACGTTTGAACGGCGTGGCCATTCCCCCCCCCCCCGACACTAATGCCCTGCCACACGTGATGCATTGTATGTTTTTTTATAATGGGCTTTCTGACTTTGAACTCTGACCCACGTCAAACGTATTGAATATTGCCGGCGAATTGACTGGCGCGCACGCGCGTCACTCGGTGAACGCGCGTGAACACACGTGCACACGCGTGAACACACGTGTGCGTGAACACACGTGTGCGTGAACACACGTGCGTGCGTGAACACACGCGCTTCTACCTCTGAGCCAGCCGGGTACCAGCTTCCTCGTTGCTAAGCATCATCGGTGGGGCTCGGCCCTCCCGATCACCGTGACAACCAAAATCACTGTCACTCGACTCATCGGGCAGGGTGGCAATGGTCCTAACTACTGCGTGTGTAGGCGGTGCAACTGCGTGCAGGGACCCGGGGGCCGGCCTCTGAAGAGGTGGGGGAATTGGACAGTGGATTGTGTGGGGCATTTCATTCGTTGAACCAGGGTCCACTGATAGTGATTGATAGACTTACATAAAGACCCATATACTTGCATAGAGACCCATAGACTTATACAGCCATATACTCATCTAAAAACCCACAGACTTAGAGACCCATAGACTTACATAGAGACCCATAGACTTATACAGCCATAGACTCATCTAGAAACCCACAGACTTAGAGACCCATAGACTTACATAAAGACCCATAGACTTATACAGCCATAGACTCACCGAGAAACTCACAGACTTACATAGAGACCCATAGACTTATACAGCCATAGACTCACCTAGAAACCCACAGACTTACATAGAGACCCATAGACATATATAGAGACCCATATTTACATGATCGGCACGAATTGTCAATCATCGGGCTTCATTACAAAGGGCTGCAATTCTGTTTGTGCTTAGTATAACACAGACATTATTTGTACATTCTAATAAGGTAAGAATAGCGATTTTTAATAATATTGCATCATCTACACTATACTTTCACGGTCAACCAAGCGAAGTAGAAATGCATTTCAACGCGGAGCTCCGGACAATGAGTGGCACTGCCGCTGTCAATGGTGATGTGTTGGGCGCGGGTGATAGAAAGAGGGGGGTTGGTAATGAATTGTAGCGGGTTCAACAACAAAGTTTATTTTCTGCGCGGCACGGATGATGGAATTTTGCGGGCAGCACTTTTCGTTACCCTCCAGTGCATCGTGCGAACCGGTCTCCGGCGCGCGTGGGATATAAGCGAGCGAGGCGCTGTGCAGTGCACAGCCCATTATCCAATAACAAACAGATTAGCGGGCATTTGATCGGCAAACATCTGGTTCGTGTTTTGTATGTCCCCGGGATTCGATGCACGACTTGCTCGCTCGCGTAGGCGCACCCACACCGCCAGCTACATTATTTTTTTTACTTGATTCCAGAATAGATTTTGGTCAGAATCAGAAAGTTGATTTATACTGGAGGAATTCGATGAGTTTTTGAAGGGGCCGTCCATAAATGACGTCACGCGATTTTGGACAATTTTTTACCCCCCCCCCCCCCCCTCGTCACACGGCGTCACAAAAAGTCAGACCCCCCCCTCAAATATAACGTCACAAAGCTCTGCCCCCCTCCCCAAAACCATATTTCCATTTTGAAAATAAAACATGCTTCAGATCGCTTGAAACTATTGTCATGGTAGTGCGTATTTAATGTGGCGCTGCACTCTGATGTTGTAGGAGAAAACATTTATCATAAAGTCTATTTAATTAAGTAGAACGTGTTGTCTATATTTATTTAAAGAATTTTGATGTGACGTCACATTTCTCAAACCCCCCCCCCTCCTCCTCGCCACACACCGTCACAAATGTCTGACCCCCCCCCCCATCCCTAGGTGCGTGACGTCATTTATGGACGGCCCTGAAGCTCTTTTTCACAGATAACTCATTTTTACCATCTCGTTTGCGCTGTTCGTCCTGTTTCTGTCTCGCGCGTACCGATGTTATCTGTGCCGGTAATCCGCGCTAACGTTTGCATGTCATTTCCAAAAAATGTTCACCAATGTTTTCTTACTTGCACCAATCGACGGCAATGTATCCTGAGCGTGAGAATTGGATTTAGCCGACCAATCGGTGAATTTCTATCGGCGCCCAATCCCCGCCTCTATTTGCCGAGTGTTTTTATTCACACTCCGTCACCAGTCCGCAAGATTACTTTGTGTTTTTCATTATTTTTACATCTTCTTCGCATTGAAGACGTCCGTTAACCCACGCCAGAGGCCGCTGATACAGAGCCACACGCTCAAAATTCAGGTGGAAACCCCTGCGTCAGTGGTGGAAATTCCACATTGCCATGCCAGGGCCAAGTTGTTATTTCAGGACCTTGCCCCGTGACCTTGAGTGGCGGGCGGGCGGTCGCCTGCATTCATAGCCAATTCTTCCCCAATTCTTCCCCTTACCGCTGCTCTGTTCGCGCCGCTGCTGCTGCTGCTGCTGCCGTTGACGAAGCTAACTTAGCTGTTTCTTGCCGTTGTTGATTTCGTCGCTACATTTCCACGTGGGGGGGTGGTGGGGTGGTGTGTTTGGGGGGGCGGGAGCTTTTTGTCAGAAGCACGAGGTTTGTTAATCATTACTCTCTCCGCCGGCCGTGGTTGGAAAAACAAGTTACATTTCTCGGCCGCACTAAATACTCGATTCCGCTCGAATCACGCGTGCTTGTTTTTTCCACCTAAACCTAAAACTAAACTAACAGCTAAACTATTTTTATTTGACCAGGTAAGGCCCAATGGTGGTTCAACGAAGTGGCTTATCGCGTGGAGATTTATGGCAGCCAATTGCTCTAAACGCACGTTGATGTGGAGAAAAAAAATCCACGCGACCACGGGGAGAGAGACATGCAACCTCCAAATAAACACGCGTCAGGGTCGGGAGTGAACCCACAACCTCCTGTACAGCAGGCAAAGTAGTCAACATCTCGCCAAAGTAACTAGATGTTAACGACCTCTCCCACCGCTAGATTACGACCAAGTCAACCAGATCGCACCCGATCTTGTCGCATCTCACAATCTAAGCCGGGTCGAGCCTGGTTTGCGATTCGGACGGGAGACTGCCTTGCCGATAGCCGGCGGTGTAGGCCTGAGGCTACGAGTTGGAAAGACGATGGCAGTTACAGCAGTGGACCTGTGAATCGATCTGTGCGAAGAAGCTTTGAGTGTCGCCCTTCGCGTGCGTGAATGCTCGGCTTTGCCCGAGTACTGTCATTCCCTCGCGCGTGAAGCCAGCCACACACGACGCACTCACGGGATTGGCCACACACCCTGACCTGATGCAGCCTGATCACCATGGGCAATAGTGGCGATGTCTTGGCTGAGCGAACGGCGGCGTTCTTACACCGATACACAGTTGCCCACCTGGGCGTGCGCGGCATCCTGAAGGCAACTTTCCATTCTAAAAGTCACAGCGATGCCCTTCGCCGGCTAGTGTTGGGTGGCGTTAGCACCACCGACCATTCTCAGCCAATTGGGTCAATTCCAAATTACGGCACGGACCAGCCTCTCTCCACAACGGGGTTACGAGTTCGCCCCTTCCACAATGTGATACTCGTTTTATCAATCCCAGAGGTATGGTGATCATGATTGATGATGATGGTCTGAGTTGAATATTCGAACTTGCACGTTTGGGATCGCGAGTCAAAGTGCTCTAACCACATCGCGCGCCACCCCGCCGAATCATTTGTACACATTCACGTGAAGTGCAATATCATAAGTGCTACTTGTAATCGAGTGATCAGCCTATGATTACGAATTACACAGTGATTAGAATTAACGTAACAAACATTCAGGTCGATTTAATGTCAGGCCTACGGACATCTTGCCGTTCACCAGCATCGGTTCAAGCAAGCCGACGAGTGTCGAAACCGGTCCAGAGCTTCGCTCGTGTGGAGCCAAAGCTACTGTAAATTATCTGCTCTCTCGAAAGCGTGTGGCTGATGGAATGTGTGAATTAAAAAAATATTTTCTTTAAGCGGAGGGGCGGAATATGTGAAGGGGGCGTCTTTCCTTCCGTAATTATTCGGAGCCGCGAGCTCTGCACTGAGCCCTGCAGGCTGCGTGTCGCGCGCGACCTCTCATCGCGTCGACTGCTGCTGCTGCTGCTACTGCTGCTGCTGCCCTCACTGACGCCACCAAGCCTCATCAACTCCCAGCTTCAACTGCATTTGGAGTCGTCATCACCGTCGTCGTCGTCGTCATTGTACAATGCAATTAAAAAAGTAATCAACTGATAAAGGCTTAGCAACAGTCATCAGATTACACGCTGCGTGCTCAGTAATAATGCCGGATTACCGGTAGCTTGCGTGAGTAACCTGTTTAGTGTCCCAACAAGGTGGAGGTGTGCACGATGCGGACCGCGCCGATTGCAACATCGTCACACGTGGCTGGAGTTTCGGGCGGCTGGCATGCCCGTGAGCAAGGGGCCGGAATTTCAATTCCAGGCTGCGTGCCAACCCACTCGTTTCTGTGCAACGCGGTTCAACGTTTCTAGCTGTGCGGACTTCATGCGGCGTTTGAGTTGCAACTGCATCTCAAGAGGTAGGAGGAGTGACGCGGAGTGAGATGAGAGGTAGCAGAGTGCCGAGCTCGGAGCGGAGCGGAGCGGTGGTCGCCACTTACTGATGCCGTGGCTGGAAGAGGAGACCTGTTGGCCAGGGCTGTCTTGTGACGGAAGGTGGAACGGCTGCTGGACTTTGGTGCGGATAATCCTGCAGAACACACGCGCCCACGGCGCAAACAGCGTCAGCGTCGGGGAACGACCGCACGATAGATCCGAGCCAGTCGTGAACTCTTCGACACCGAACCTAACTCATACCATGCTCACGAGACCCAGAGATATACAGACACATTATAAATGAATGATACGCCCAAGGCAACTGTTCCATTGCCAAATTAAAACAGCGCTTACGAAAACTGACGACTAAGCCTGCCTGATATCCTCTTCTCAGTGCAATCCCTGGAACATGTTTTGACTTTGCTGGGCCTCGTCAGCAGGCCCGTGTAGCCTATTAAACCAACACTTGATGTGCTGTCCGATGTATTTAGAAACAAGAGCTCTCTGTGAACGTCGTGAGTTCTCGCGTTGCATAGCTCAGCTCTTGGCCGCACGGCCATGCCGCCCAGTGGCATTCCTTCAATGGGACATACCCCGGCTCGCCTGACAACTCAAAGAAGTCGAAACAATCTAAATATGTTGCTTGCATTGTTTAATAATAATAATAATAAAAACCGCACGCTGCCGGGATACATTGATCCGGCATGCCCCTTAGAAGTTCGGTGCGTTTCAGTAGTTTCACAAACTCACACCTTCATTCAAATTCAAATCCGGGCACACGTCCTGAATTGCCAGGAAATGCGAATGACGGTCCGTGTAAAATTCCCAGACGTCCTTCATGAAATTCACAATGACTCTCCGTGAACTTAAACCTGTCCCGAGACGGCCTCAAGCATGGCAGGTGGTTTGCCTAATTGTTGTGTTCATATTTAGTATTATTACGATCCATAAAGGGACAATTGATTTCGATTTAAAGCTTTCGTGACTGCAGGGATTCATCTTCTTGATTCTTTCGGTAAAGTCACGTAGAAGGGAAATAATAAAATAATAATTCTTCCCGACAGACCTGTTCTTCACCTGAGGACGGCTGCTTGCGTTGTGGCCGAAACGTCGGGAGAATTATTTTATTATGTTTTATTTTTATTATATTATTATTTCCCTTCTACGTGACTTTACCGAAAGAACCAAGAAGGGGACAATTGATATCAATGCACATTTACACGTAAGTGGTGTCTCAAGCTACGGCTACACGGATCCTTAATTTGACCATGTGGCACCGTATTGCTGTTTGCGTTTAGTTTGTTGTTCTTCCCCACACTTCGGATCAGCACGGTTGGCTACGCACGGTGCGAAAGAAGTTCAGCGTGCACACAAATTGCGTTTGTTGCATTTCAAATGCTGACGTTCGCACCGCTAGCCCACAGTGAGATGTGGCCTGTCGCTCGCTGTTAGAGCAGCCGGTCGCACTCGCAAGGCCACGAGTTCACATTCAACTCAGCCACCATCACAGCTCTCGGCTCAATAAAAGCAGCCGCGATTTGTGTGAAGCCCGTAGTGTCGGTTGTCATTCGAACAGACTGAAAAAAATAAACAACTCGGACCGGACACGACTCAATGAGTCCACGCCAAGGACGCAATCACACCTTTTTCTTTTTAACGAACACCAATTTGTCCGGTAGTCTCACGTGGAGACTTGCCCCCGCCATAGCAATGTGGAATTACCACAGCGGGCTCAAGCACCAGGCACGTTTGACTTCTCAGCTCGTGTGCGACCGGGTCTCGTGGGACGACGGCGGGGGGCACGGCGAGACGTGGACCGGGGGGTGACCCTGACGAGCAGTGCCGGATTATCGTGGTAGCACAAGTAGCTACATATGCTACGGGCCCCGCAACTTTCAAGGGCCCCGCGCTAAATGCTTTCAAGCTATCAACTCCGGTTCAGCGATTCTGCACTTGCTCTATTACTATAGTGCTATGCCGCCTTCAGCTTTTATGAACGACTGGGTGTTTAAGGTTATCGATTTGTCGTATTATCTGGCTGTATAGCAAATTATAAAATTAATTATAGATTTGAAGCTTTCGTGACTGCAAGGATTCATACTCTTAGGTTTTTTCGGTAAAGTCAAGTAGGTAAAAAATAAAGAATAAAAATAAATAATAATAAATAATAATAGAAGAAATAATAAAAATAAAATAATAAATCACGACATTTCGGAGGCAACACAAGCTTGTTGTTTTTTAATGTTTATGTTTTTTTTTATATTTAGGGCCCGCACTAGCTTAATCCGGCACTGCCCGCGAGGGCTGTGAGCAGGGCAGGTAGAGGGATTGTGGGGGGTTGTAGGGGAGGGGGGGCTCCCATTGTGACGTCATCACAATGGGCGCCTTTGAAGTGACCGCCGTCGTCACCGCCACGGGATTTAGGGCGCACGAGGTCAACGTCGGAGCCGCACCGCGGCTCACCCGCTCACAGTCGATCTCGCACGGCAGAGCCGCGAGGAGTTACACAGTGGGGGGCGGGGGGGGGTGAGGTTTGTCTGTACGATGTCCCTGCTATTTGCGGTAACTGCAGACTTGCAAGAGAATGTATTAATAGAGCATCGGGCCACCCACCCCCTCGTGTACCGTTCCGGCCTTCATAGGTGCTCGCTAACAGCACTTGCCCCTACAGTCTGTTAAGGCTATACGGGGGATCTTTGTCTTTTGTTTTGTCCGCTGCGAAAGCGGCGACCCGAGTTCGATTCCCGCTCACGGCCAACACCGGTGACGATTCTCTGCAACGGTCCTGGAACTCCCCCTAGGTCGACTCAGCCTCAAATGAGTACCTGGTGCGGTGTGTTAAACCATCGCCTCGGGGGAGACAAAGGCGGTCGGGCGTGGTGCTGGCCACTCACAACCTCGTGTTGCCGTGCCGCCCAAAATAGGTGCTCGCTAACAGCACTTGCCCCAACGCTCTGTGAGGGCTATCCGGGGGACCTTTGTCTTTGCGTGTTCGAATGAGCAGGTGGCCCAGGTGCATCGCATTCCCGTGCTGGGGGAACGCGCGCAGTCTCCGCGGTGGGGGGGGGGGGTGATGTGCTCCACATCATTGTAAACACAGAGTGGATATCGATTTTGGTGCAGGGCGGAGAGGCGGCGCTGTCTATACAGTCCACACCGCCGGGCCTGCGGCAAAAACAGCTCCGCGTGTTGCGACTGTGTGACCTCGCGCCCAACATCAACACCACCACCATCAACTATCAACAGCACTATCAACATCAACACGCCCACATCACCACCACCATCAACTATCAACAGCGCTATCAACATCAACACGTCCAACACCACCATCAACTATCAACAGCGCTATCAACATCAACTCACCCAACACCACCACCACCGCCATCAACTATCAACAGCACTATCAACAACACCACCACCATCATCAACTATCAACAGCACTATCAACATCAACACGTCCACATCAACACCATCACCATCAACTATCAACAGCACTATCAACATCACCACCACCACCATCAACTATCAACAGCACTATCAACATCAACACGTCCACGTCAACACCACCACCATCAACTATCAACAGCACTATCAACATCAACACGCCCACATCAACACTAACTCCATCAACTATCAACAGCACCATCAACATCAACACCACCGCCATCAACTATCAACAGCACTATCAACATCAACACGTCCAACATCACCACCACCACCATCAACTATCAACACGCCCACATCAACATCAACACTACCATCAGCAGCGCAGTGGTTTCGCGCGCTGCAACTACGACCCAGGCGACCCGAGTTGGATTCCCGCTCACGGCCAACATCGGTGACGATTACCTGCATCGGTGCTGGGCCTCCCCCCCCCTAGGTCGACTCAACCTCAAGTGAGTGCCTGGTGCGATGTGTAAACGTCGCCACTGGGGAGACAAAGACGCCCGGGCGTGGGTGCTGGCCACCCACGACCTTGTTCCGGCCTTCATAGGTGCTACTCGCCTGAACAGCGCTTGCCAACAACAGCTTGCTGATGCTGTACGTTGACGACGTCACGCGGCAGGCTGCCACGGGGCGCTTTGTGACGCGCGCGTGACGCGCTCGGCGCGAGCGGCCGCGTCGCTGCACGTGGCCTCGCTCCGAGCCTTGCCGAGCGCCACCGGCCACACGAATTGTAATTTCGCTGCTGATGCTGCTGCTGCCACAGAGCTTCGTGACTCCCTTCACCCACCGCTACTCGCACCCATCGAGGTCTCTCACAAACATCACCGTGCACCGGTTCTTCCATGCGGATCGATGCTGACGCTCGCGAAACGCGCATCAAAAGCGCGGGTCTTAGAATCGAGGTCCTCGCGAATTATTCTGAGGCTGCCGTCAGGGTACCGAGGCGAACACGAAGTGCACAAACGGAACGGTGAGAATGGAACGCAACGCCCACGTGCGCTCGCACGCATACACAACGTTCATTCAGATGCACACACAACAAAAAAGATACCCCGTGTAGCCTTAACAGACTGTTGGGGCAAGTGCTGTTTGCGAGCGCCTATGAAGGCCGTCACGGCACACGAGGGGGTGGGTGGCCAGCACCAAGCTCGGCCGCCTTTGCCTCCCAGTGAAGATGATTTACACACCGCACCAGGTACTCATTCATGGCCGAGTCAACCTAGGGGATGCCCAGGACTGGTTTGGATAACTGTCACTGGTGTTGGCTATGAGCGGGAATAGAATCAGGCCGCCGGGTTCGTAGCGCAGCGCGCTAACCTCTGCCCCACCGCTCCCCACAATGTTCACACAAAGATCCCAACCCCGCAGAGCCTTGACAGACTGTTGGGGTGGCCAGCATTACGCCCCACCGCCTTTGTGTACACACAGAGACACGCTAACACACAGACAGACACACACAGAGACACGCGTACACACAGACAGACACACACAGACACGCATACACACAGACAGACAACGACACACACAGACACACACGTACATACAGACAGACAAAGACATACAGACACACGCATACAAACAGACAGAGACACACACAGACACACGCATACATACATACATACAAAGACACACACAGACGCACGCATACATACAGACAGACAAAGACACACACAGAGACACGCATACACACAGACAGACAAAGACACACACAGACACACGCATACATACAGACAGACAAAGACACACACAGACACACGCATACACACAGACAGACAAAGACACACACACAGACACAGGCGTACATACAGACAGACAAAGACAGACACATGCGTACATACAAAGACACACACAGACACACGCATTCATACAGACCGACAACGACACACACAGAGACGCGCGTACACACAGACAGACAAAGACACACACAGACACACGCACAGTCACTGAATCATAGCCCCCCCACCACCACGCCCCCCACCACGCTCCCACAAGAGCGATTCTCACAGCGGAATCGATACGCCGAGAAATTGAGTCGCGCGTCCGACCCTGCCGCGGGGGGAGTCCAGGCCCCCCGCCCCCCCACCCCCCGTGTCATAACAGATGCGGGGGGGGGGGGGGGCTCGGTGCGGGGTTCCCTCCACTGTGTGTCTCACACGTGACTGCGTGTGTGTGTTTGTGTGTTTGTGTGTATGTGTGTGTGCATAGGGAGCGGTAGTGCAGCGGTTAGCGCGCTGCGCTATGAACCTGGCGACCCGGGTTCGATTCCCGCTCACGGCTAACACCAGTGACGATTATCTGAACAGGTCCTGGGCCTGCCCTAGGTCTACTCAGCCTTAAATGAGTACCTGGTACGGTGTGTAAACATCGCCACTGGGGAGACAACGGCGGTCGGGCGTGGTGCTGGCCACCCACCCCCTCGTTCGTGTACCGTTCCGGCCTTCATAGGTGCTCGCTAACAGCACTTGCCCCTACAGTCTGTTAAGGCTATACGGGGGATCTTTGTCTTTGTGTGTGTATGTTTGTGCACGCACACAACACCACGGCCGTCCGCCTTTGTCTCCCCCACACACGCACGCAGACACCCATTCACACGGACACGCGCGTCAGTCGTGGGTGTAACGAGCGCGAGACGAGAGCCGTCGTTCGACGGGGCAGTCGAAAAACTCTCGTTACGTGCGCTCTTATTTTGTCGCGCCAGAATTTACTGGGCATCTTAGCGCGCGACGGATTCCTCCTCCGGTCTCAATAAACATTCCGATTCGGAGATTTTTAATTGCGCGCACGTCAATATCCCATCTCCGCCGAGGCGATTGGTGGCCCGGGCTTTAATGGCACCCGCCACGGACGTTTTTCCACCACCAAAACACCCATCACGGTTTGTATGCACGGCGCGTTGTTGGAGCCGCCGCCGCTGCTGCTAATGGCAGACTTCATAAATCGGGATCACTTTGTCTCTCTGCCAGGTGCGAGTGAAGGCGGAGGGGAGGGGGCTACACGGGCTGAATTATATCAAACAAAAGACAAAGATCCCCCGTGTAGGCTCAAGAGGACCGTGGGGCAACACCTATGAATGTCGGCACGGCGCACGAGGGGGGGGGTGGTGGCCCAGCACCACGCCCGACCGCCTTTGTCTCCCCCAGCGGCGATGTTTACACGCAGCACCAGGTGCTCATTTGAGGCTGAGTGGACCTAGGTGGAGGTCCAGAACCGATTCAGATAATCGTCACCGGTGTTGGCCGTGCGCGGGAATCGAACTCGGGTCGCCGGGTTCGCTGCGGAGCGCGCTAACCGCTGCACCACCGCTCCCCGTCTGCGTTGGGTCATCAACACCGACACAGCGACAGAGACGCACGCGTTACGTGGGTCGCGCGTGCAAACAACGCCCGTGGCACGCCGAGGTGGTTCTGACACGAACGGGTGGGATGGGTCGGCTAAAGGTCACCACCGTCATCATCGCCATCATCCATATGATAAATCTACTGCTGGATGAAGGCCGTCTCTACCCCTGACGCGTGCTGCAGCGGTAGCAATGTACAGGACACACACAGCACCCACGCACGAGTTGCCTCGACGTACGTGTGTGCGTGTGTCACTCGCATAACCTATGTAGGTTTGCATGTGTACACATTAAAAATGTATGCATGCTCCTATGTATGCACAACTGATTTAGCGTTCGTGGCTGTGAATGATTGTGTGTGTGTGGATCGCGAGAGGAGTGGTTAGGGCACTGCGCTACGCATCTGGCGATCCGAGTTAGGCACCCGCTCGCCGCTAGCTTCAGTGAGGATATATCTGAACCGGTCCTGGGCCTCACCTAGATCGACTCAGCCTCAAATGAGCACCTGGTGTGGTGTGTACACGGCACTACTCGGGAGACAAAGGCGGCCGGGCGTGGTGCTGGCCACCCACCCCCTCGTGTGCCGTTCCAGGCCTTCATACTTCATATGGTGCTCGCTGAATTGCACTTGTCTCCAAAGTTTACTTGGGCTACACGGGGGATCTTTGTCTTTGTGTGTCAGTGTTTTTGTGTGTGTGTGGTGTCGTGTGAATGTGTAAATGTCGTCACGAGGGAGACAAAGGCGGCCGGGCGTGGTCCTGGCCACACCCCCCCCCCCCCCCCGTCGTGTCCCCTCTTGCCCTTAATAGCAGAGAGCCCTCTGACGAAGGGTCATTACCCAAAACGTCGCCTCTGGTTTAAGCGGTCCCTCCCTGCTTTGGGCCGGCGTTGTTAACGACCACGTGATGAAAGTGGGCGGAGGATGAAGGCGTCAGCAGCGGTGCAAGGGTTGGGGCGAGGCGAGGAGTTGGGCTGAACGATTAATCGATTTCGAATCGATTAATCGCAATTTGAATTGAAAAGTCCTATTGCTTTCTTAGTGGAATTGTTTTAATTTTGTCATTATTATAACTTTATTTAACTTAACAATTGTTCTATGCTTGATTGTTCTATTTCAATTAAAACATTTTAATAAATATTTGAAGTTCTCATCCTTGCATTAGAATATATAGAGCAGTTAATATTTTGATGGTATCGTGTGGTAATGCCCCATCACATGTTTTAAATCGATTACACAGTGAATATTGAAGTGAAGGTTGACTTTAAAAAAAATTGTAATCGCAATTCGATATTTTCCCCAAATCGTTCAGCTCTAGCGAAGAGAAATCGCTGTGCGTGTGGGGGGGGGGCAGGGGGGGACACGGGGGGGGGGGACACAGGGGGGGGGGGGGCAGGGGGGGACACAGGGGGGGGCACAGGGGGGGGCACAGGGGGGGGGGACACTCGCAGGGAGGGAAGTTGAGCCAATCTGCATTACAAGCCCAGAGGTCAATTATTTATCCAGGAACGGTGTTTTTTTTTGCCTCGTCCAACTTTCCGGACATCAGTCACACAAAGCGGGGTTGATAATGACACTCTCGGGCTCGTATAATATAATCGGCGCCGCTTAGACGAACTAAATGCATGACCAAGTCCATAATTGGCTTAGCCATTCCGTTCCGTGTGATTCTACGGAGCAGGCCTGGCGAATTCTGGGAGGGCATTTGGTTGGTGCGCGGGTGGAGAGGGGCGGGGGGGGTGAAGGAAGATTTCACAAAGAGAGCGAGGATAATGAATAATTTGGCTCAATATGAATAAATCTGACATTTCCACAATGTACGTTTAAAAGTACGGATAGCATTGAATCGCTATGACACCGCTGCACGCACACACAATCTCGCGCGTGTGACCTCACGGATGCAAAGATCCCCCAGGTAGCCTCTCGGACTCTTGGGGCAAGTGCTGTTAGAGAGCACTTGTGAAGGCTGTAACGGCACACAAGAGGGTGTGTGGCCGTACCACGCCCGGCCGCCTTTGTCTCCCCTAGTGGCAATGTTTTTTCACATCGTACTAGGCACTCAATTGAGGCTGAGTCGACCTAGTTGAGGCACACGACCGGTTCAGATAATCGTCACCAGTGTTGGCCGCTGCACTACACTGACTCACACAAAAATAAAGACAAAGATCCCCCGTATAGCCTTAACAGACTGTAGGGGCAAGTGCTGTTAGCGAGCACCTATGAAGGCCGGAACGGTACACGAGGGGGTGGGTGGCCAGCACCACGCCCGACCGCCTTTGTCTCCTCAGTGGCGATGTTTACACACCGCACCAGGTACTCATTTCAGGCTGAGTCGACCTAGGGGAGGCCCAGGACCGGTTCAGATAATCGTCGCTGGTGTTGGCAGTGAGCGAGAATCGAACCCGGGTCGCCAGGTTCATAGCGCAGCGCGCTAACCGCTACACTACCGCTCCCCACACACTGACACACACACTGATACACACACACTGACACACACACACTAACACACACACTGACACACACACACACACAACGTGACCGCCCGTACCTGTTGATGGAGGAGACGCTGGGCACCGTGTCGGTGTCACAGACGCGCTCCGCGAGCAGGCGGTCCCGGATCTCCCAGGCGAACATTGTCGGGTTCTGCCGCTTGTATTCCGCGATCTTGTCCACCACCTTGGGAGTGGCCACCTTGGGCTTGGAGCCTCCGATCACCCCCGGGCGGATGCTGCCTGTCTCGTAGTACCTGCAAGCGCTCGGCACCCAGCGACACAGAGACCATGGTATTACTACTACAAAGACGGAGACAAAGATCCACCGCGTAGCTTCACGATGACATGCGACTCTACGGGTGTCCGTGGGTCGCTGCGTGAGTCTATGGGTCTCTGCGTGAGTCTATTCGTCTCTGCATGGAACTCTGGGTCTTTCTGTGATTCTATGGGTTCATGTGTTAGTCTGTGGGTCTCTGTGTGAGTCTATGGCTCTCTGTGTGATTGTATGGGTCTCTGTATGAGTCTATGGGTCTCTGTGTCAGTCTATGGGTCTCTGTGTGAGTCTATGGGTCTCTATGTAAGTCCATGGGTCTCTGTGTGAGTCTCTGTGTCTCTGTGTGAGTCTGTGGGTCTCTATGTGAGTATATGGGTTTATGTGTGATTGTATGGGTCTCTGTATGAGTCTATGGGTCTCTGTGTAAGTCTATGGGTCTCTGTGTAAGTCTATGGGTCTCTGTGTGAGTCTATGGGTCTCTGTGTGAGTCTATGGGTTCGTTTTGGTTTTCGTTCTGATGTTGTTGGTGTTTTTTTACTTTTGTCATTTAGGTGACCCAGGTCACTCTTGCCAATGACACTCCTATCCTGGTCTCTCTCTTGAGTTCTCACAAAACCGACATGAACCTTGCTGTTGGGATAAGTAGAGTGGCCAGCACCGTTGCCGATGTTCTACGCACGGGTATTAGGTACTCAATTGAGTCTAGGTAGACCTAGCGGAGATCAAAGGAGAAGTTCTGATTTCACTTGCCGCTGGTATTGGCCGTGAGTGGAAATCTAACCCACATGGTAGCGCGGTACGCATACCATTACACCACCGCTCGCCACATTATTACTCCAAAGAAGAAAACAAAGATCCCCCATATAGCCTACATAGACTGTTGGGGAAAGTGCAGTGCGTGAGCACAGCCTACTATTACATATACACAAGTTACAGTCGCTTACAATGCAATGTAGGTGTGTAAAGCCCCTACACAACCTCACGTCTCCATGGTTAACGGACACACACGGAGCTACTTCACACAGCGTCATACTCTGAACCCAGCCTGGTGCTCGCCATGAGAATGTGGAATGCACATGAACTCCACCCCACGCCGGGAGACACTTCGCCTTGCCGTTACATTGAATAAATCCAAGCGTTGTAAATTCCACATTCCTGTATCGCTTAGTATCTACTGTTCGAGGAGTCCAAGCTATGGATCACATTGGGCCATCGCCTGAAACGTCGCCTTGTTATATATTCACCCTTTGAAGGCCACGGTGTCATTGGCTGAAGTGTGGACCTCTAGGCACTACAGGTTTATTGGAAGAGCGGCAACGATGAGGCAAGAGTGACGGGACGTGGTCGGTGGCTGCCGGAACGCCGCTCCGGACTGTTCCGGCTGAAACCGATCACGGGTCTGTCGATGTGCACAGCGCACACAGCTCGTGCACAACAACATCATCGCAGGCACCCTTAGCGGGAATGTAAGTAACTCATTCACTGAAGCGATAAGCACGCCTCCCTGCTGCTATATCTGCTCCGCCAAATGATATCTCTGTGATTATTTAAAAACAAATGTTTCTATTTTCACATTGGGCTGCTGCCCGAAACGTCGCCCAGTATGCATCGTTTTGTGACCGCAGCGTCATCGAAGAATGTTGAAGTCTAGGAAATACATATTTTATTTCACAGTAAACAAAATCACGTTTTTGTTCGTGTTATTTCCGCGATGTTCTCGCCGTGCGGCGTGAACATCGGGCAGCGTGTGGCGGGCACGCGCGGTGCCGGTTAGCGCTTCTGCCGGCGTTCGGCATAGCCACCACCATCATCATCATCATGGGGGTCTCCGCGCGCTCTCGGCAACAGCTGGGGCCCGTCGCTCGCCCAGTGCAGCAGACAGAAAGCAGCAAAAACAAACGGCACGCAATCCCGGCAAACTCGTGCCCTCGGAAGCTGTTGTAGTCGCCGTGCGTCGTAATTGTGCGTGCCCCCCCCCCCCCCCCCCCTTTGTTGTTGACTTCGGTAAGTTTGTTGTTGTGCGCAGACGTGGCGAAAGCGGTGAGCGCGACTGCGACCCTCCGCACGAACCGGTGCTGCCCCCCCCCACCGCCTCGCTCCTAGGTCGACTCAGCCTCAAACGAGTACCCGGTTGTAATGTGTACTAGACATCGCCACCAGGGAGACAAAGGCGGCCGGGCGTGGTGCTGCTCGCTAACAGCACCCAACGGTCCGTTAAAGGCTACACGGGGGATCTTTGTCTTTGTCTCGCCAGCGATGACGGCATTAGCGGCACACGCTTCGATGGGGGTCTCCCTCTTCAAACAAGCGCGGGGTGGCCCTGAGGCAGCGCTGGAAATTCCCCAGTCCTATGGCAGGAGCCAAGTATATCGACAGAGCAACCGGCGATGCCTCTGTGACAGCCGTAATCGTTGCGACGAAAGTAGCAGTGGTAGCGACCTCAATTTAGCCCCATTGATTCCTCAGCTCTCCTTGAGGTATTGGACAATACCCTCGTTGATGATCACGTTTGATTTCATTTCAAAACTACGACACGTTCCCGTTTAGCGTTGTTGTTGTTGTTATTGTTTAACGTCGTCGAGTGGGGGGAGGGGGGGGTGGGCATTCGATGATGCCAGCGCGAAATTTTCTTTGACATTTGCGCGAACGCGTGGACGTTTGTTGATGTCGATGCGTTGCTGGCACGCCGCGTGCCTGTTCCACGGGGCTCATTGAGCGACGGGGTTTCTCGGGGCATTTACGCACGCACGCAACTTCTCCGCCTGCCGCTCCAAAATACATACACACGTGTGTGGAACCACGAGGGCAACCCCGACAGGCCTTCACATGCCGAGATGTAACGAGTAAAATACACATACTTGTACAAACACAGAGATCCCCCCGTATAGACTGTCAGGGCAAGTGCTGATAGCGAGTGGCAGCACCACGCCCGGCCGCCTTTGTCTCCCCCAGTGCCGATGTTTTTTCTACACCGCTCTAGGTACATATGTAAGGCTGAGTTGACCTAGGGGAGGCCCGGGACCGGCTCAAATGATCGTCATTGATTATTGGTCTTTGTGTTTATATATATACAGGGTGGCCCAAATGTCAGGACACATAGGGTTATTTAATTAATTTTAACGCTGTAACATTAACATTTTAAATGGTTTATTCTTTAAGTTCGTGTTTAACCATCATCATTACTGTATTAATATATATTTATTCTGCTACCTGTGGGGGTAACCTCAAATCTGTCGTTTATAAAAAGAAAACGTAAAAGAACCTCGACTGAGAACCCTGAATGACTTGAGACGAAACATCATGGATTAATGTTCAAAGATGACACCGCTGTAATCCTAACCAAACAATGAATATCAAAAGAGAATCCATGCACGCGTGCATGCGTTAACGTTAATATAAATACATTTGAACGTGGTAAAATGAATGAAATAACCCTGCGTGATTTGTTAAGATAAATATAAAAACCCGATGTGTCCTGACTTTTGGGCCACCCTGTACATCTGAATCAGAATCTTTATTGAGGAATCCGATGAGCTGTAAAGCTCTTTGTCTCAGACGTCAAGTTGGGGCGGTTGGAACGATCAGTGTGATTATGGAACGATCAGTGTGATCATGGAACGATCAGTGTGATCATGGAACGATCAGTGTGATCATGGAACGATCAGTGTGATCATGGAACGATCAGTGTGATCATGGAACGATCAGTGTGATTATGGCAAGGAAGTCAATCAAGATCGGCACCCACATCTCAGTCACGCCGAAAGTCAACTCGGATGGCTAAGGGGCGATTTTTGACCCCCCCCCCCCCCTCGTCACACGGCATCACAAAAAGTCAGACCCCCTCCTTCAAATATGACGTCATAAAGCTCTGCCCCCCCCCCCCCCAAAAATATAAAACATGCTTCAAATCGCTTTAATCTATTGTCATTGTAGTGCGTACTTAATGTGCCGCTGTACTCTGATGTTGTAGGAGAAAACATTTATAATGAAAAGTATATTTAATTAAGTAGAACGTGTTGTCTATATTTATTTAAAGTTGCGCATTTTGATGTGACGTCAAATTTCTCAACCCCCCCCCCCCCTCGTCACAAATGTCTGACCCCCCCCTCCTAGATGCGTGACGTCATTTATGGACGGCCCCTTAGTTCATGTCGGTCAAGGTTCGGGGGGCCGGGGGGGGGGTTAGTGGCACCCAACTCGGACGCGTCGTTCTCAAGCAGAGAGGAAACCCCACATGGGCAGGCGGTAGTCGGATGAACGGCAGAAGCACTCAGAGGTGCAAGAGACTGGGAGGTCTGGAGAGAAGGGGGGTCCCAAGCGGCGAGACGGGGATGTTGCAGGGCCGTGGTGGAGTGGATGTGGAGTTAATGGCCCAGGGCAGCAGTGAGAGGAGCAGGAGGAAGGGCAGCAGCGGCCCTTTGAAATTGGGGAGGGGGAGGGAGGGGGAACGATTCCAAAATCCACAGCAGTCGCCCTCATTGGCGCTCACCCGACGTTACTCGAAGTAACGCCACGAGATTCCATATTTGAAGCTTTCGTGACTGCAAGGATTCACACTCTTTGGTTTTGTCGGTAAAGTCACGTAGGTAAAAAATAGAATAAATGAAAACAACTAAATTTAATCAGTGATATAATTTAGTTTTTAAATCAGTGATTTAATTTAGTTTAGTTGTTTTCATTTATTTTATTTTTTACCTACGTGACTTTACCGAAAAAACCAAAGAGTATGAGATTCCATATATATATTTTTTGTGTTCAAAGCAACTTCATTGTGATTACGTGAATGATGACACCGCCGTGCACCCCGCGTTCATCTGAGAGGCACCAGCCGGGTGTCGCGGCCGCTGCTGTCCCCTTGCATTCAACGTCACCTTCTGACATCCGTACAAAGTTGGTGATAATAATAAAAAGTACCCGTGAACAGAACGGGGCATTTGCTAAAGTGCAGGTGACGCTGAGCAGTTACAACCTGAGTTTGGCGATACTGGAATACCTGCTGCGTGATTACGGCAACTCGATACTTGTAATCCATCACTCCCAGCACTGATCACAGATAGAGCGAGATGTCTGTAGAGAGTTTATGGGACTGCGATGATCACAAACCCCCCCTGCCCACCCCCACCCCCCGAAGCCACCCAATGTTCCTGCAGGGCCCCGGCTCTAACGCAGAGGGGCCTCGCTAATAAACAATCGGGCAGTTCACCAGCGTTGCTTCAAGCAAGCCCGAGACAATGATTGTCAAAACCAGTCCAGAGTTGGCCCGTGCTGAACCAGTGGCGCCTTCTGAAAGATTCACTTTCAGAAGGCCGTGGTGGCAGAATGCCTCATGTGCTGCCCCGTATTTAAAATACTGTGTTAAAAAACACACAACAATCGATGCTGCGCGCTAACATAGCCCATGCTGTGAAGAAGGCCCATTGCGCGAAACGTCGCCTGTTATATATTTAACTCTTTCAGGCATCGCTGTTGACGCGTGTGTTGAGTTTTTTTGTTGCTGTTCACTCACTGCAAACTGTATCGAGCACTCGCATCGCAGCTGGAATAGTGCCAGTTCGAATCCTGATTGGGGGTCAATAAACCCATCATCGTTTTTTTGAACAAGGTAAAATAGAATTTCCAACAGTAAGACGAGTGCTTCCCCGTGCTTCTTTGTGCGCTAAGATGCTTCGAGTTGACACGCAAAGCCACTTGGGAGAACACACAACAGCCTCCGACTATGGAAATTCCACATTCCCATGGCGGGGGCCCAGGATGTCCAATACTGAGACGAGTGCTTCTTTGCGCGCTGAGATGCTTCGAGTTGACACGCAAAGCTACTTGGGTGAACACACAACAGCCTCCGACTATGGAAATTCCACATTCCCATGGCGTCGTGGTGATGGGGTGAGGGGCAGACAATCCGTGGGACAGCCGCTGTTGAGTGTGATTTTAATGAGGTTAAACCGGATGCCGAGGGGGTGAATGGGGGGGGGGATTTGGAGGGTGATGGGCCTGAGCCCCTCCCCTCTCCCCTCCCATCAGCGTCTCCTCGTGAAGGAGACAAAGCGCGTTTGTGATGCAAAGGGCGAGCTCCCCCGGCTTTTATCAGCGCGGGGTTATCCCTCTCCCATCGCCAACGCCGCCCCCCCCCCCGCCCCCGCTGCTGCTGCTGCTGCTGCCGCCCTTATCTCCGCGCAGAGAGACGACGCAGCGAGACACGCTCCGGCGGCGGCGTGCGCGTGCGTGTGTGTGTACATGTGTGTGTGTGTATGTATGTACGCGTGTGTGTGTATGTACGTGTGTGTGTGTACATGTGTGTGCGTGTGTGTGTACGTGTGTGTGCGCGTGTGTGTGTGTGTACGTGTGTGTGTGTACGTGTGTGTGTGTGTGTGTACGTGTATGTGTGTACGTGTGTGCGTGTGTGTGTACGTGTGTGTGTGTACGTGTGTGCGTGTGTGTGTACGTGTATGTGTGTACGTGTGTGCGTGTGTGTGTACGTGTGTGTGTGTACGTGTGTGTGTGTGTGCGTGTACGTGTGTGTGTACGTGTGTGCGTGTACGTGTGTGCGTGTGTACGTGTGTGTGTGTGTACATGGTGTGTGCGTACGTGTGTGCGTGTGTGTGTGTATATACGTGTGTATGTTTACGTGTGTGTATGTACGTGTGTGTATGTACGTGTGTGTGTGTACGGGAGAGTGTGTGTGTGTATGTGAGAGTGTGTGCGTGTGTGTATGTATAGGAGAGTGTGTGTGTACGTTTGTGTGTGTGTGTACGGGAGAGTGTGTGTGTGTTTGTGAGAGTGTGTGTGTACGTGTGTGTGTATGTGAGTGTGTGTGTATGTGAGTGTGTGTGTATGATTATATAGGTGTGGGGAGCGGTAGTGTAGTAATTAGCGCTGCGCTACGCACCCGGCGACCCGGGTTCGATTCCCGCTCACGGCCAACACCCAGTGACGATTATCTGAACCGTTCCTGGGCCTTCCCTAGGTCGACTCAGCCTCAAAATGAGTACCCGATGCGATGTATAAACATCGCCACTAGGGAGACAAAGGCGGCCGGGCGTGGTGCTGGCCACCCACCCCCTTGTGTGCCGTGCCGGCCTTTATAGGTGCTCGCTAACGGCACTTGCCCCAACAGTCTGTTAAGGCTATACGGGGGATCTTTGTCTTTTTAGTATTAGAGAGTGTGTGTGTGGTGTACGAGCGAGGATTGTTGTGCGTGTATGTATGTACGTATGGGAAAGCGTGTACGTGTGTATGGGAGTGTGTGCGTGTGTATGTATGTATGTTTGGGAGAGTGTGTGCGTGTGTGTATGGGAAAGTGTGATCGTGCGTGTGTGGGTGTATGGGGGAGTGTGTGTGTGTACGTGTGTGTTGGGAAACATGTGTGTGTGAGAGAAAGAACATGTGTGTATGTCTTTGTGTTTAGCGCCCTGCACAACGAAATCTGCGACCCGAGTTCGATTCCCGCTCGCGGTCAACACCAGTGACGATTATTTGAACCGGTCCTGGGCCTCCCCTAGGTCGACTCAGCCTACAATGAGTTCCAGGTGAGACAAGGCGGCAGTCAGTGCCGCATTATCCTCGTAGCAAAAGTAGCTACACATGTAGCTACTACTACACGTGTAGTAGTAGCTACATATGTAGTAGCTATGGGCCCCGCACTTTCAACGGCCCCGCGCTAAATGCTTTCAAGCTATCAATTCCGGTTCAGTGATTCTGCACTTGCTCTATTGCTATAGTACTATACTGCCTTCAACTTTCATGAACGACTGGGTGTTTAAGGTTTGCGATTTGTCGCATTATCTGCCTGTATAGCAAATGAAAACATACTATTACTTTACTGTGCAAGTAAAATAATTGTGTGTTTTAATATTTGTGTGTTTTTATTTATTTAATAACATATGCGACATGCCCACCGTACCAGATTCTTTTTTTCATAGATGCTGGCTAACAGTACTTGTCCCAACACTCTAAGGCTAAACGAGGGCATCTTCGTCTTTGTCCCAGAGAGCAGTGCGAGAGTGTTGTGAGCTGCTGGGCAGTGGGGCTCCAGCAACAGCCGAGGAGCGACGCTCACAACAACGATCTGAGCGCCGGGCGGCTACAGCGCGCAGTGGGGAGCACAGGCGGTGCCTCTGACGGTCATCTCGGTCAACCCATGGGCAGCACCCGTGACCTCCTCAAAGGTGCTGGCGGACCATTATCCAAACAAGAACATTTTGCACAAGAAGATCATGTATAAGGCTCACCCGCAGGGGACCCTATTTCTGCTATGCGCACGTGACACTTTTATCATCTGCACAGCGATTTAACTTATTTTTGAATACTCTTTTTTTCTGTACGCATTTAAAAATATCGTTGCTGCTGTTTACGTTGTTGTTGTCAATTTGCACAAGCTGAGAAAGAGAGAGCGACACGGGAACGAAGAATCTCACCGCCACGCGCCCCGTGTATGCATGGGTATGTGATCAATAAAGCTGACTTCTTGACTTCACCTAGCCTTCTTGGTTTATTCGGTAAAGTCACGTAGAATGGAAATAATAAAATAATAAAAATAAAACATAATAAAATAATTATCACGACGTTTCGGCCACAATGCAAGCAGCCGTCCTCAGATGGAGAACAGGTCTGTCAGACAGAGTCTTCTCGACAGACCTGTTCTCCACCTGAGGACGGCTGCTTGCGTTGTGGCCGAAACGTCGTGAGAATTATTTTATTATGTTTCATTTTTATTATTTCCATTCTACGTGACTTTACCGAAAGAACCAAGAAGATGAATCCCTGCAGTCACGACAGCTTTGAATCGAAATTCACCTAGCCTGTCACGAGCGTTGCAATTCGGGTAGAGATGGTGCTCGCCCGCCTTTGCCGATAGCTAAGTAGTAGAGGGGGGGAGGGGGGGGAACAGCGGCACTTCTCAAGGGGTCGTCAGCCAGCAGCGACGGCTGCGATGGCCGGGGGTCGAGGCAGCAGTCCCAGGGCCTCACCTGCCGAGAATCTTGGAGACGCAGCCGTGGGAGACCCTGAGCTGGCGCGAGATGTCGCAGGGCCTCACGCCCTGGTGGGCCAACTCCACGATGCGCTGGCGCACCACGTCTGGCAGCGGCCGCCCGTTCACGAACACTCCGCCCAGCTGGTTGACGCCGCCATGCCCTGCCGCGCCCGCGGGGCCACACGCACGCGCACAAACGACCTTAACGCGGCGCACGCGGCGGCGTTACTCGCCTGGACGCAGGCAGCGCGCGCGCGTGCCGAGCGCGCGCACAAGATGAACGCGTGCGCACGCGCTTAGCGGAACGCACGCACACACACACACTGAACACACACACACAAACTGAACACATATACACATACACACACACTGAACACACACACACACAAACTGAACACATACACACACACACTGAAGACATACACACACAAACTGAACACACATACATACACAAAACCTGAACACACATACACACATACATATACAAAACCTGAACACATACATACACACATACACAAACTGAACACACACAAACTGAACACACACACTGAACACACGCACACATACAAAACCTGAACACATACAATGTTAACACATACCACAACTAATAGGGTTTTTCCCCTTTTTTCTGGCAACAAAACTGACACCTTTTGCAAGGAATCATGCTTACATTAACCACAATACCTGCAGTCAAATGTAAGCATTCCTTGCAAAAGGTGTCAGTTTTGTTGCCAGAAAAAAAGGGGAAAAACCCTATTAGTATATTTTGGTACTGGCAAAGGAGATCCCATGACATACCACAACCTGAACACGCACTTACACATACAACCTGAATACATGCGCACGCGCATCCTGAACACACACACACTTACAACTTGAACACACACAGGCACCTTAACGCATGCACACACACACAACGGGAACACACACAGACACGACCTTAACACACGCACACAACTACAAAAATACAAAGACCCCCCCTATAACCTCAAGAGAATGCTGGGACAAGTGCTGTTAGCGAGCGGCAACACAAGTCAGGACAGAGTGCGATGACCACAACAGCAACGCACCACAACTCTCATAAGCTGTGCTGCCTGTTGCTGGCCGCTTGGCGTTTTGGGCCTCTGCTCAGGAACGGTGCACAGAGTACACACACACACACGCGCAGAGAACATACACACACACAGAGTATACACAGTATACACGTGTACGCAGAGTATACACACAGATCACATATACACACACAGAGTATACACACACAGAGTGTGCACACACACACACAGATGGTATATACACAGTATCGACACGCACAGAGTATATACACACACACACAGTGCACACACAGATTATATAGACACAGAGTAAACGCACACACACACAAGAATATACACAGTATACACGTGTACGCAGAATATACACACAGAGCACATATCACACACAGATTATATACACACAGACTATATACACGCACACAACACACAACGCATTTGGTGAAACTGTGTCTGACGTTTCGGGCTGTGGCCCTTTTCGAGAGATTCATTTATTGACCCCCCCCCCCATACATTCTATTAAGCGGCTGAGTTGATTAATAAATGTGGGCCTTTATTTAATTGTCTATGTTTCAGTGGCACTGCCGATGCAATCCCTTCATCTTTTTGTTATCGACCGTGACTCAATTTGTTTTATCCTGCACACATACATATGTACACACGCACACGCACGGAGTGGAGTGGTGGCGCAGTGGTTAGCGCACCCCACGGGCCGTGTTCGATTGCCGGCCAGGACTGTGACTCGCAATCAGCCGCGCGTGATATCTAAACCGCTCCTGCAAGGCCTCTCGCATGCATCCGACCAAACCAACCACCACTGGACCCGCGTGGTGAAGTATGGTCAAGTAACCCCCTAACCCCCCCCCCCCCCGCCCAGCGACCAAGACTGCGCGGCGAGAATTTCGTCCAGCAGTGGATTGCCACGGGGCTGTGTGTACGTCGGTAACGTATCGTACACCCGCTCTGCTAGCCACGGCGTTGCACGTGGACACACACAAACACGCGCTGGGGCTGGCATCGGCGGCGCACTTCTGTGAGATCCAGCGCTGTATGGGGGGGGGGGGGCGAGGGTTGATGGATCACGCAGAGATTGATGCCAACCGACGCGGGCTGTGATGCGAGCAAGCCGTGGCCAGTACAGCACGTGGGTCAGCGAGGCGGTGTGCACGCGGAGGGGGGCGAAGCTGTCTCGTCGATTGCCTCCGCCGTGATGGCGATAGCGCTCAATTGAGCGCAATTGGTCAAAACCATCGAAAATAGGCGTACGGTCTTTGCCAACAAAAATAAACTCTCTCATGTGTTGGCGAGAGCGTGACCTGAGCCGGAGAGTGGACGATCACTGCTTGGGTCAGATTGCTCGCTGGAGATGACGGTTGACAGATTGATGGATGAGGAAATATATATTGAAACTTTGTTAAAATCTCCACCACACCGTGACCGATTTAGTGAAAGAAGGTAAATGTTGGTGAGCGTCGTCGTCATCGCCAGCATCACACAGCTGTCGATGTATTTGGAGATGTCTGTGCACCAGTCTGAGTTGGACTGATGGCAATTGCAGAGATGTGTTTTAGAAGCGCTGGAGGGCTGAAATTCAGTCGACGCATCATGAACATCATAAAACTCTACAATTTTCGTCTAATCTGAACCACTGAGAATAGGGCAAAGGAGGCTGATGCATTCTTTACTCTCGGGGGCAGGGTCGGCCAAAGTCCCCTGCTCAACAATTACGAGGACACGGAACCCATCGTCAGCGAACCGAGTAATTCGCCTCCCGTGGAGTGTGACTCTGCAGCCGATAAAAAGCGGATCCAAGCCCGACACCGACTACTCCTGCACAGTGCTCATGCGTCCGTGCTGGTTACGAGGACGCGCACGCGCGGTGCGGATAATATTCATTAAGAACGCAATGCAAGGGCACAATCTACGTATATATAGATAGTTAATACCAGTTGCGTGTGTGCACATATATATTTATGTGTTTACGATGCTTCGTAAATATTACTGTTTTCCCACATATTTTTAAACGTATGTAAAATAAGACATAAAAAGCATTTATAGACCAATGTAAATATATTGTAGATATTAAGCATGTACCAACTCCGTATTAACTATCATGTATATAAATAGATCAAGCATATGCAAATATAATTAGTATCTTAGCGTAGACACTCCCACCTATATACAAAGACACAGATCCCCCGTATAGCCTTAACGGACTGTGGGGGCAAGTGCTGCTAGCGAGCACCTATGAAGGCCGGCACGGCACACGAGGGAGTGGGTGGCCAGCACCACGCCCGGCCGCCTTTGTCTCCCCAGTGACGATGTTTACACATCGCACTGGGTACACATTTGAGGCTGAGTCGACCTAGGAGAGGCCCATGACCGGTTCAAATAATCGTCACCGGTGTTGGCCGTGAGCGAGAATCGAACTCGGGTCGCCGGGTTCATAGCGCAGCGCGCTAACCGCAGCACCACCGCTCCCCACACCTATAAAATCTGGCTGTGACGGTCCCACCTGATGACGGAGACTTGTGTTGCCTCCGAAACGTCGTGATTTTATTATTTTATTTTTATTAATTTTAATTTCACTTTTTTTACCTACATGACTTTACCGAAAGAACTAAGAGTATATAAACACACACACATATACGCTTCTGCACTCCTGCACGCACGCCATATACGAAGGCATGTACTTGCATGTGGACGCATATGCACTGCCTGTACGTGCGAGTGCCGTGGAGTACTCCCGTGCGCGTTCAGTGCGCACGCGGAATGCACGCGAGCCCTGCCCCCGGGGCACGGGGCGCGAGCCCTGCCCCGGGGGCACGGGAGTTCATCTAGTCCCCTAAACTTGCGGGACACACAAGAAACACACACACACAACAGAGAGGGAATTACTTCGATTTTCTGAACATACTGAGGATTTTCCGGGTGACAGGAAGGTTTTCTGCACATTGTCACTGAGATAAAAATGTGTGTGCGATATAGAAATTGCTACAGGATGTATCCTATGCCATTGTGCAATGTATGTCGTTTTTTTAAATTGAATTAGGACAATGGATGAATATTTCTTCAATCGGGTCAGTCGGCCGAAACGTCGGCGTATTATTATTATTTTCTTCTGCTCGGTGTCGTTACAATCTGTTCCCTTTTTTAGTTTTTAATTCGCCTTGTCTCTCGTTTGTCCAAGGCCACTCCGCCGCACCTGATCCCACGGGGTCAAAAAACTAAATGTCTTGAGAGTGAGACATTGCCCGCGATTGCCTTTCCCGCAGCAGTGCATTCACACAAGCGCCGCGAACAGCTGCGTTTAACTGCTACTGTCATAACGGATAAGCATTATTTAAAACTAAAAAACACTTACAAGTCTGATTGTAATTAAAGTCTGCACCGTGTCGGGCAGAGCCTACGATGTATGTGCACGCGTGCGTATTGGGGGGGGGGGCGGTCTTGCAGTGGCCTGCGCCCTGTGCTACGAACCCTTCGGACCTAAGTTCAATCTCCAGTGGAGGTTTCACATGAGTGGCGAATGAGATGTGAAACTGCCCGCGGTCTCCACCAGGTTGGCCAGCCTTTAACGAAGTGACAAGCGCGGTGTGAGAACAAAGAGGGATTGGTGGTTCCGTGTCGAACACTACGACGTTAACCACACACTATCTCCATGTTACTCTCTTGAGTATATATATACAAATTAGTGTGATTAAAATATAAGTTTAAATAACGAGCTGTAAAACTGAAACTGACTTTTCAAGGTACAGTATAAATATTATCCAACTTCCGACCAAATGGTTTTCGAGGATAATATTTGAAATGTTCGAATTAACGAAACTCAACAATGGGGGGTTCACGTTCCTAGAACTCATTAGCGAAATGTCGCAACTTAAACACAACTAAAAATGCCAATCAATGTCAATCAATCGGGCAAGTAGAGTCGAGCGTCCTTCGAGACTTAAATTATCTCTTTCACGAGGGACCTGCGCGACTTACAGAAGGAGTCCTGGGTGATTAAATCATTCTTGATTTTTATATTCAGTGATATCCTACACAGAGCGTTGCATGTGTATCCACATTACTTCGCAATATACTACATATATCACTATACACATATTGCA